TTAAGATGTACACAAACATTGTAATTGTTAATGCTGTTATTTTTTATTGATTGGAATATAATATCTTAAGCTTGAAAAGAATCGTAATTTTTCTCCACACTCATTTCGAAAAGAATTTCAGTCGATTCATTGTGTCCCTATGGCCACTTCCTGGACAGAGTTTATCTCCGATTTGGGACACTGTAGTTCACTGCTTTGGACACAGTGATTCAATACTTGGGACACAGTAGTTCACTACTTTGAGTATAGTCCTTCAATTCTTGGGGTAAAGTGATTCAATACTTGGGACACAGTTGTTCACTACTTTGAGTATAGTCCTTCAATTCTTGGGGTAAAGTGATTCAATACTTGGGACACAGTAGTTCACTGCTTTGGACACAGTGCTTCAATACTTGGGGTAAAGTGATTCAATACTTGGGACACAGTAGTTCACTACTTTGAGTATAGTCCTTCAATTCTTCGGGTAAAGTGATTCAATACTTGGGAGACAGTAGTTCACTACTTTGAGTATAGTCCTTCAATTCTTGGGGTAAAGTGATTCAATACTTGGGACACAGTAGTTCACTACTTTGGACACAGTGATTCACAACTTTGGACACAATACTTCAATTCTTGGGGTAAAGTGATTCAATACTTGGGACACAGTAGTTCACTACTTTGGACACGGTGATTCACTACTTTGGACACAATGCTTCAATTCTTGGGGTAAAGTGATTCAATACTTGGGATACGGTGATTCACTACTTTGGACACAATGCTTCAATTCTTGGGGTAAAGTGATTCAATACGTGGGATACAGTAGTTCACTACTTTGGACACAGTGATTCGCTACTTTGGACACAATGCTTCAATTCTTGGGATAAAGTGATTCAATACTTGGGACACGGTGATTCACTACTTAGGACACTGCGATTCACTACTTGGGGTACAGTGCTTCACTACTTTGGGCACAGAGATTTACTTCTTGGGGTACAGTGATTCACTTCTTGGTGTACAGAGATTCACTTCTTGGTGTACAGTGATTCACTGCATGGGGCACAGTGATTTACTACTTGGGGCACATTGATTCACTACATGGCGTACAGTGATTCACTACTTGGGGCACAAGGAATAACTACTATGGGCATTGGCGAACCTGAGGGTGCGGAGGTGGGGGGGGGGCACGGCGCCGCGGTGACACTTTTTGAGTTTCTATATAAGATTATATAAATGGTAGGGTTGGGTGGCGCTATAGTGATAATGGTGCGCCACTTCAACTGTGTCGGCAAATCAGGTTACACTGAACACGTTGGTGCCACATTACCCCGTGAAATATTGACTTATTGGTAACACTTGCCAGTGTTATCCCCAAAGTTTCCTATTTGTATCTTCAATCTTTAAAACCAGTGGTACGTAAACAACATCATTATAAGAACCAGTTTTTGGAAATAATGATCAATAGTTTTGTTTTGTGTAAAAAATGTAATAAGTTTAAGTTTAACAAAACGTTACATTTTTTTTTTAAAATCTGAAATGTAAGCCTCCTATTTTTAGATCCCTTCCGCCCACTGGTGCAATAAACTGACTGGTCTCCTTCTCGGTCTGGCCTTTTCTGCTTGGGTCTCAAATCGCTGATAGAATACCCCGTGTTTAATAAGCCCTACGGTACGATCTTAATGTTAGTCTTATAGCTGCACTACCCTCTACAGCAGCGGTTCCCAGACTTTTAAGTTCGGTGGACCGGTGAAAATTTAAAAAAAATTGCACCAGGGACCGATGCCAGATTTATTAAGTGTATTGACCAGAAATTTTCATGCTGCGCGGACCGGCAACGTAAGGCTCGTGGACCGGTGCTGGTACGCGGACCACCATTTTGGGGGGGACGCTGCCCTGCAGCTCTATACGTGAACGTTTCTTTAACGATGTGCCTTACTACTGACACGGGGATAGTTTCCATGCCAGCTGTGTTAAACAGGCGTGTAACCCACTCGACCTATTTATGTTTAGGGTGAGCGAGTACAGACGACTTACATTACATCTTCAGCATTACAACTTGAGGGTGGGATATAAATCACTAAATTAAAGCCCATTTTTTTTTTTTAAATGTTTTGGCTTTGACTTTTGCTTGTTCACGGCACTCGTATCGTCTCAATGATAATTTATTTAGGCCCTCATCTTATTCCCGTAGCGACACGTCTGCTAGCACCGGATCAATTGTGACCATGGGGGACATCACGCATAAGACTTTTGCGGTTCAATCCGGTCCTGGAGATCAACACATCGCTGACTTTCGGTACCGGTACCACACGGTGCTGTTCCGGACGTAGCTGCTGTCAGATCAAGTGTCAGTATTTACACAAGTAACTGTTGGTGACGTGACAGAGCTTTTGTTAACACAGATCAAGAAGACAGAATTGATTCGTGTTTCACTTCGAGAGCGAACAACAAGTTGTCAGAGATGTAAAGTTAAATACAGAGCCACCCTACTAAAAAAAATGCGAATATGTCTCCTGGTAGTCCATAGCACTGTGTCTGCGAGGGGACAGTTCTTGGGTGCGCCCCCACACTTACCTCCCCACGACCTGACCTCTGATGTGATGCATTCCAAACTGTTCCTCACAACCATGTCAGATTGTCATGAAATTTTATAAGACATTACGATCCATGTGCGTAGGGGGAGTGGATGGAGAGGACTGTTCGACCCGAGGGGGGGGGGTGGGGGGGGAGGGGGGGGGGGGGGGGGGGGGGGGTGGGGGGGGGGGGGGGGGGGGGGGGCGGGGCGTTTTTTTAGAGCGACAATCACATACGTTAAATAGCTTATTTTTAAATCCTTTATATTAACTTTGCTTTTGTTCGTGTTTCTGGCAAAATCTTCGGACGGCTGATTTACTCACTTTCCGTCATCCCATCGAACTGAAACTTGGCACATAAACTCGTTGCCCATGACAACACATTCCTTTAAACTATTCAGGCCCAACCCCCCCAAAAAATAGTTTTTCCCCCTGTTTTTCAAGGGCGGATAACTGTTAACTCCTTCGGTGCGTGTTTTGGTGTGCACCCTTGTTTTTAATGTTTAGGGGTTGTTTCATTTTTTTCTTTTCATGTTTTCTCTTTAATAGGAGGGGGGGATCAAAATGAAGGGAGACTGCTTGTCAACTTGTTCATATCTATCACGCAATAAACTTTGGTAAACTGATCTCAATACAGAGTGCGGTTTGGTCAGATCATGACCCTCTGGATCTGAAGCTCGTAGGCCTGTGTGGTCAGATACGTGAAGCATTGGCAAGTGATCTACAGTTTAATGCAATATACTACTTACGAAACCTTTTTTTTCAAAAGTATTTTTTTTATTGAAAAGTAATTTAAAAAATGACGTAAACAATTGGTTTATAAAAGTATTATTTCTATTTTTGAAACTGACTTTCGATTAACATCCTTGGTCTGAACCTCAGTTTGTCGGGAAGCTAATCGCTAATGAAGCTAATAAAGTTAAGCTTGAATTCATCAGGCTTTTACACAAAGGTGCAACCATTATTTCCTGGCGACAAAAATCAACTGGCACCGCCAACTAAGAACCCTTAGCTATAAATTACAGTACCGTATTTTCCGGCGTATAAAGACGACTTTTTAACCCATGAAAATCCTTTCAAAAGTCGGTGGTCGTCTTATACGCCGGTGGTCGTCTTATGAGCTGGTGTACAGCCAAACCCTAGATTTTAAAAGGAAAAGTAGGTGGTCGTCTTATACGCCCAGTCGTCTTATGACCTAGTGTACAGCCAAACCCTAGATTTTAAAAGGAAAAGTAGGTGGTCGTCTTATACGCCCAGTCGTCTTATGACCTAGTGTACAGCCAAACCCTAGATTTTAAAAGGAAAAGTAGGTGGTCGTCTTATACGCCCAGTCGTCTTATGAGCTGGTGTACAGCCAAACCCTAGATTTTAAAAGGAAAAGTAGGTGGTCGTCTTATACGCCCAGTCGTCTTATGAGCTGGTGTACAGCCAAACCCTAGATTTTAAAAGGAAAAGTAGGGGGTCATCTTATACGCCGTAAAATACGGTAATTAAACATTGTTACAAAAACAACAAGGGAAGTAACGATCCACGTGAAACATATCTGTGTTGTTCGTCCTTTGCAAGCTAAAATGACATGGGCAATTTCCCGCTTGTGTATTAGCCTTGACTTGAGCTGAATTTTGTTTGAAGCAAGGGAAAATTTCTCAATTGGTCAGCCTCACTCTCTCGTCCTTGCCTATTTGATCCAATGGCAAGACCTAGTCAAGATGACTGGAGATAGACCAGGATGCAGTTGACGATAGGCAGTATGACTTGAGTGTTTCACTTAGCTCTTTATGCGTTCCACGCCGTATGAGTTGTCGGAATTTTCATTGTCATACCGCCTACGGGACTCCATCTCTGGGTTAGATTTCAGAGTTTGCCTACTCTTAGATGAAAAATGAATTTAAACCAGCCATGAATATTATTAACATACATAATTTTAAGATATGTCTCCCACAGGATTGATGTTGCTACGACATGTAATAAAGATAATACAAAGATTACATTTTCAATAAAAGATATTTAAATCATGATTATAATTATTATTATTTCTCAAAATTAAGGCGTGTGTTAAATATTTCAGTATCGTTCAAATTCATTATTCCAAAAGAATGTGTCAAATATTTAAGTATCGATCAAATCTTTTATTATTTCAAAGGAATGTGTCAAATAATTTAGTATCGTTCAGATTTCCCATTATTCCAAAGTATTTAAAATGCCCATGCATCATACTGCCGCATGTATCCAGAAAGATAAACGTAGTTAGAATACAACCGTTCCTAGGCCTGACTTGTCTTTATTTATTATCCCTTTGTTCAAGTGGCTCAAACTGTAATAATTCATGCAAACTCGGTGTACAATTTTAATATTTATTCAGTTCAGACAATACATACAAGTTTTTTTATATTTTATTTATATTTATATAAAATGTAACATGATTTTTTTCTTTGTTATTTAAAAGTAGCTATCATATTGTGGGTGGTCATTTGAATCGAGCTCTGTGTACAAACATGAAGCTCTTATGGCAAATATTTTTTCATATATTGTTTCTTCCGGAAATATATTGTCAGGGTTTTTATGGTGAGAAATAATCCACGGATTTGGCTACTGTTCAGTGAATTGAATGCAGCTCTGCTCATAATATTTTCCGTGCATAAAGTTGAATATATCTACGTCGTGATCATAGTTTGGTACAAAAGGGAAAAAAAAAGTTTTCTCCAAAAGATGTGCAATATATTTTTGGGATGGTGTAGATTATTATTAATACCGGTATGATCGTTGTTAGAAAAATATTAATTTTTAAAAAATTAAATAATATTAAGTTTACATTCTTATTACAGATATTTATATATTGAAAGATCATTTCCATTTATTCTATTGGATTTATTTTTTCAAAGTGTGAAATATTCTGTAAAAATAAAGAAAAATAAAAAAAAATCAATTATTTATATATTTATTTTGTTCCGATTAGTAGTGGGATGACGATATCATTGTTAAACAAAATGTCTCTTAATTAATATTGATGCCCAAGCTTTCTACAAAACGGAACACCAAATTGTTGTCTGAATATATTTCTTAGCCGCTTTAAAAAAAAATGTTCCGTAGATAGAAATGTGACTTAGCCTTCATAGTCGGATGATCCACAAAAAAGTTTGGGCAACGCACGCAGAGGAGAAGCAGTCTGTAGTTACGGGTTTCTTTGATAGCTGTGCCCGGGACACTCGGTGGTTATAGTCAGTGCCGTCTTAAGGCATGGACCACTGGGCACGGGCCCAGGGCCTCACATTTCTAGAGGGCCTATCTCTTATAGAGGCATCGTGCTGCAAATATTGTTAATGACAACTGAAAGATTTTGGCAATTTAATTGATTTAAAAGTCAATGGACAGCACGTTTCTAAATTTTAACCCACGATATTATCGGCAATTTCCCAAATTAATATTATAAATGCGAATCACAAGCTAGATTATTCTTAAAGGGGAATAACTCTCGTCAAAAAGTTTTACTGCTCCCATATATGAATCGAATTTTATTTTTTTTTAAAGTAAGAATTTGTGATAAAAGTCATATTAAACTAAGATGTTAGTCTCATACTCGAGGGGGGCTCGCGCCTCTAGGGGGCGTGATGCCTCTAGTGAACCTCACACCTCAAAGGCGTCTCACGCTAATAGAGGCATTATGCTGCCAATATTATTAGCGAATATTGAACCATTTTCGGCAATTTATTTTGCTTTTCAAGACCGTTTCTCCAATTTAAATTTAAACTAATTTTTCAATTCTCACATCAAAAAAAAAAACTATTTTGTTACTAGCTTTAGAAAAAAAAAATTTAAAATAAATTATCAATTTGAAAAAAAAAATCCAAATCTTGGTGGGCGATTTGGGGTGGGGGGTGGGGGTGGGGGGGGGGTAATCAAAGAATCTTACAATAGGCACCAAAAATTTATTATTGTATAATTAAAATAAAGTACTATACAGTTCAAGTAGTTAGAATTCCAAATAATCTTTTTAAGTTTACTTCATTTTAAAAATCCTTTTTATTAACTTCTCGTTTGTTCGTTGGTGGCTGGCTGAGTGGCAAAATCTTCAGACGCCTAAATGATCCACTTCCCATCAAGCTATCGAGCTGAAACTGGTAATAACTGTTGCCGATGACAACACGTTCTATGAAATGTGCAGCCGCACCTCCTAAACCTAAATATAAAGCCCCAAAAAGGTGAAGATGAAAGAAATGTGACGCCACTGATTTCAAGGGGAGAAATTCCCGATAACTGCGCTAAATATTCTTTTTAAAAAAGTATCGCAAGTGAGATTGTTGCGTAATATAGGCCTATACTTTTTCTAGGAAAAAAAAGGTAAATTTAATGAGCGGTGCAAAGCGGATGGGCCATTAGAATTTTAATATAGTTCAGAGGCGTCAACAACAAAAATAATGGGGTTGCGGACTTGGAAAAGGGGGGGGGGGGCATTATTTTAAAAAAAATTTTTTTTAGATGCGTTCCTTGTAATAAAAAGAGGTGTTTTAAAAAGAATTTTTTCACTCTCGCTAAGCCTCTGAATCTTTCCCAACCTTTTTCGTGAAAAGAATAAAGGTGTCATTTTTTATCAACAACAAAAATAATGGGGTTGCGGACTTGGAAAAGGGGGGGGGGGGCATTATTTTAAAAAAAATTTTTTTTAGATGCGTTCCTTGTAATAAAAAGAGGTGCTTTAAAACGAATCTTGTCACTCTCGCTACGCCTCTGAATCTTTCCCAACCTTCTTCGTGAAAAGAATAAAGGTGTCATTTTTTTTAAAAACACTAATCAGTGTTTCTATTCTCTCCACAAACCAAATCGCCCCCTGCGTTAAGAGTGCCCCCTGGGTTGGGTGGAACACACTGAGAGATGCTACTATTTCAACTTCCACCCACTACGGAGGTACGCGGAGGCCGCGGCAGCGTGCCAGGTAAATGTGAAGTTTTCCGACCAAACTAAATTAATTTTTAAAGAATTTTTTTATATTTTATTTTAGATTACCTTCCTAACATATATTCATATGGTAGGAATAATTATGGTAGTAGTTAATTGCTAATTGGAGTTGTATGTCTCATAAACATGTTTCCTCTTTTTATAGAACATTTCCTATTTAGTCTTTAAACGGTGGTTCCCAAAATGTGAGCCACGGTGCAATGGGAACAGCAAAATGTTATAAACTTTCAATTCAGTGCGATGAGAAGCGACGTCTAGCAGACATCGTGCAAACCAGTAACTCACTTAATAATAACTTTTCAGCTGGTCTCTACAAAATGAGACAGGATTACTTCTTTTGTGATCTTAAACGTGTGTTTAAATTATGTTTAAAATACGTTTTTGTTCGATATTACGGTGCAATTGTTAGAATTTAATATAGGGTGCCGTGGGAAAACCTGGATACAAGAAGTAAGCACGGGAATTGAAAAAATTTGAGAACCACTGTCTTGGATTTAATTCATAGCAAACTCATTCAAAACATTTTTTTTTTTTAAATTTAAAAAATAACAATAAATGAGTTTTTGCACGGGGTCTTTTGTTTTCAATGGTAACTTTCTTCACGGTTTTTATTTTATTACTTTAAACTCCTCGCTAGCTGTAATCTCTCTTGAAACCAGCAGAAATGTCTTAACTCAATGAAACCTTAAATTATTAAGAGATAAGGATACCTCCGTGATCACTTCAAAAGAGATTTTTCGTCTCGATAGGGCGAAAAATGTCAACTTTACAGCCTTGTGGTCAGGTTTTGACCCAATCAGTCATTGATTTTGTAGGGTAGTTTTTTAAGTAACCACTAACGCACTATCAAATTTTTAAAAAACCATAGGCCTATATTATTTATTTACATTACGTGAGGACCGGCTCTAAAAAAAGGGGGGGGGGGGCGAAATGGACCCCGCGCGTAGCACTTATATACTATATATATTATAAATTATTCTTATAGCCAGGCTTTGCCTACTCATAGATCTATATTTCAAGACAACACAATGTTCGGAGGTACAAAAGAATCAAGCGATCATTATGTATGGCTAAATAAGAAAGTGGGGACGGCGTCCTGTTTGCTGTCCACACCGTCATCAAGTTGGTGCAGACTTCGACTGTGCAACTTGATGTAGCCATTACACATGACCAAGGTCTAATCTGTGTCTTCACCAAGTACAGAGAAGAAGGAATATGTGAATCTAGAGATAAGACACAACAGACGCCCAAAACAGCTTTCAGGGTGGACTTTTTCTCATGATGAGTAGACCAATGGAATCATTGAAGACATGTTTTCCAACGACTGCAACTTCTTAACATTTAAACTTTTTACATGGATTAAACACATATTTTTGGCCTCAACAAATCCGCGGTGTGTAGCCTACCAACTGTATATGACTATGACGTGTATATAATACCAGAGGTCCCGAAATATTTGATTCGCCGAAAGCCCCACACCCCACTAACCACGGCCATGATTATTTCCTGTCCTTTCCCCCCTGAATAATATTGTAAACAATACACGTGTTGTTCTGAACACATGTGTTGTTTTGTTGTATTTTCCCATCAAGCTTTGGTCACCATGAGTCTCTAAAATACTTTCGCCTTTTGAACTAGGCCGAACTAGTGTGGCATGATTTGACGCGTTCCTCGGACAGTATTTCCCTGTCCAGTTCTTTGCACGTATTTCTAAATATTACTTTGTGCAACTGACGCCCAGTTAAATAAGTGAATCACGGTTAGGCTGGTCAGGAAAACAGACAGCTGATGAAGTATGGGCGAATGTATGATAATCGATTTCACTGTTTTCAGACGGACGGCGCCTATTTGGTGAGCATCAATGACGATGAGGAATTTAATTTTGTTTCTGATTGGCTGACGAAACACGATCAAAACAGGTAGGACTTTGTTTCTGATTGGATGACAAGACACGACCAAAATGTGTAGAGCGTTGTTTCTAATTGGCTGCAGAGACACAATCAAAACAGGTATAGCGTTGTTTCTGATTGGATGACGAGAAACGATAAATTGTAAGAAAGGAGGTGGGTTTATTAAACGATTGAAAATTATTTCTTTAATATTTAAACCACTGTCCTGCATGCTCGCATCGCGTAATTTTATACATTTGTATATAGGCCTAGGCAAAAGGGCGGCAGCGGAAGTCGATGAGAGAAGTTTAAGGTTTCCGCTCCCAAACACTTTTGTTTTTTTTTAAATAAGAGAAAAAAAAATAGGTCTATGCATACTCCCTAATATTAAAGTATAATTTCCAGGTCTCACAAATTGAAAGAGCCTGTAGAAGATGCAAACATTAATTTTACAAAATAGCATCTGCAATAAAATATCTTGTACAAAACTTGAGAGTTTCGCGAGTCTAGTGTTCGTCTACACCTTACATGGGAGAGCTAAATCAAAGTTCAGGGTGAATATTCAAGGGAATTTCAGATTAGACGAGGCTCAGGGTAAAGGACTCACTGACTTGCATGCTATTTAACCTACCAGTAGAGAGAGTTATAATATAAGAAGCATACATTTTGACACCCGAGGAACAATCACAAGATTTTACTGAGGGAAACCCAAAACGCAAAATCCAATTGACTGAATTTATTAAAAAACAAACTCTCAACTATGATCCATCCTCAGGGGCACTAAAATAAGAGACGACACTAAAATAAGAGATGACCCAAAATTTAAAGAGATAAACTGTACTCGATTACCCTTTATTTCAGAGGCAATCAGTGGTGGAAAACTGTACTCCATTACCCTTTATTTCAGAGGCAATCGGTGGTGGACCAGTGGTATCGGTAAGGGTGACACATTGCGTTGGGAAGGGGATGGAACTCCTGCATCTTCATCGCCTTTTTTCTGGCAAGATGAAAATGATCTCAACTCTCTGGAAAATGGAGAAAATGTGGTATTTTTATTTACCGGTTAGCAAGTCAAGTAATCTCTTTAACTTGCCATAATTTAAATACTCTGACTTACTGCCAATATTTATAAATTATATTTAGTAACATAATTTCTCTTCATCTAAATAAAATTCTTTACCTCTGGCATTGAGGCCTTACATTGTCCTCCCAAATTTAACATTATTTATATTTTATATAGAATATATTTTTTTATCAATTAATATCATTTTGTAAATTTTATATTGTCTTACTTAAATATTAAAAACTAAAGTAGGCCTATTTGCCTGCTATGTTAAAAATAATACTAATTAAATTTTATTTTGTATTTATTTTATTTTGTCTTAAAGTTTGAAGATTAAAAAAAAAAATTCTTATGTTGACGTTAAATAGAATACTAAAAAAAACAACTAAAAATTAGTATTTGAACTATTTGGTCAGATTTTTATTAATTTGTTTATTGAAATTATTTATAAAATCATTTCTTTTAAACTTCTTAATCTTAGCCTTATCTAGTCAGTTTAAATGGGGTAGATCAATGCCTAATATGATGTCATCTTTTGTGTGTGAGATCAGCTTGAATGAAGCATACAGGATTGTCCAGCAGGATCGGGATCATAGTAAGAAAGACATAAGCTTTGTTTAGCTGCCTGTATCTTTTGAAATAAGGACTTAGTTTGATTAACTTAACCATTCAATTGTCCATTCTTACAAAAGTTAATTAAATATCCTATCATTTTGTATCATTGTTTTCTAACACAGTGTTTGGGACTGACATAACAGATCCTAATGAAATAAAACTTGGACCCAAATTCATAGAACAGCCCCAGACTCTTGTCATTGAAGGAAAATTAGATTATGCTCAAATAGAATGTGTAGCTCATAGGTGTGTAGCTAAGTTTTTTTGGTTTTTGTGTAAAGAGAGTTTGAATTAGTAAAAGTTTAGTTCTCTGTTTACTGTTTACCAATTTCTGTCTGTAGTATTAACATTTGTGACATCTGTGTTGATAAATTTTTTTTCAAGTTTATCATTCACACAGTTATGGGCTGTAAATATTTAATGAATTTAAGAAAAGTTGACTTTACTGTAAACGATTTAATTCGTACATCCTGTTTCGTTTTCATCTTGACATATTTAACAATATTTTGTTCAATTTTACTTCCCTAAAGCAATCCCCAACCCACTTATGTCTGGTATAAAAGTTCTGGAGTCAGACCTCCAGCCCAGGTGACTTCTAACGAGCACTACACAATGACAAATGGGAAACTTGTCATAGCTAGACCCGATGAGATCAGAGACGAGGGAATGTATCAGTGCCTGGCTACAAATGAATTGGGCTCAGTCATCTCAAACCCAATATCAGTCAATTTTGGATGTAATTTCTTTCTTTGATAAAATGTTCTTTATAAACAGCAAATCAATAGTAAAAAAAAATGTATATTAGGTATTAAATAGCGAAATATTAGATGTATCAGTAGGAAAGATATAAATATATGTCCATTAAAATATCAACCTATTTTTAAGTTTCAAAAAATCTTTTGCATCAATAAAAGTTTAAGTTAAATAAATAATTGGATATTTTTGTATAATACATAATAATTGTTTGCGCTCTTGTTAGAATTTATGAAAGAGTTTTGGAATATGGCAAAATTTTGTGTTGTCGACAAAATTCAACAAAAGTTCCGCATAAGAAGATAATTGATGGACTGGATGCTCATTCATTTAGAAACATTCATCATATGAGTGGTGCTATATGCACATTTGGATCTTGAAGGTCTTTGCTCATTTCTAATACTTTCTAATAAAATTTATATATATCACCTAGGATAATAATAAAACTGAGATGAATGAAAATTGAAATTGTATAATTAAATGAACATTAATTTATTGTGTCATTAAAAAACAAATAAACATTTCAGATCTGTTTGAGTTCTCTAATGATCCACCTGGATCCGTCACAGCCAGACAATACAAAGGGACAGTTGTTAGTTGCAGAACACCAGCTTATAATCCAGGTATAATTGAAGAAAACTACTCAATTAAAAGAAGAGTTAATAAAAAAAATCTGCTCAATACCGGACACAGACTTTTATAACTTGTTACAGGATATGTTTTCAAATAATTGCAGATGGAAATCTGTTATTTTAAGTAAATGAAATCTTGTATTTTTTTTTGTTAGCCATCGATGTGAAATGGTACAAAGAGGATGGAGGTGCCAACTTCCTGCGTACAGACCTCCATCCGCATCAGTTTGTCTCACGCAATGGGAAGTTTTACCTTTCAGAAACTTCAACACCTGATGCGGGTGAGTTACTGAGTTGTTTACTTGCAGAGATCAAAACAAAAAAAAACATGTAATGCAGGTTGTTAAGGAACATAAACTCTATAAATATCCATGAAACTGGTCACCTGTATTAATTTGGAAACTTATCTCAGTGTTAAATACATTTTTCTGTTCTAAGGTTTGAAAATGTGAGTTTACAACTCATGAACACTTTGTAATCAGCTGGTTTTTCTTTTGGAACTTTTTCATATTCATCGTCTTTTGGGTTAAAGATTCTACAGGCTAACCACAATAGGCTATTGTTTTGAAGAACAGAAATTCTTTCATCTAGGATCTGGCAGAATTTCAACTGCTAATAATGTAGAACAGTATCATGATGTCAAATATTATACAAATACCGTTTATCTCAACTAACTCTTTATTTCAATGACTATTTTTCTCATAGAATCTCACAATGTATTTATTCTCAACCATGTCAAATCTCCAGGCTACTACCATTGTTTTGTTACCTTGGTTCCACATGCTGGCCAAGTCCTGGCCACACTACAGACCCCAAGTAGAACAAGTCTTGGAATACACCTGATTATTGTTGGAGATTGTAAGTGAGCACTAAAGCAGATAGGTGCAGTACATTTTGATCAAATTTAAATGAGATGAAGGAAATTTAATTGTGAAAATGTTTGCCATATTTTAAAAAAATTGAATGATCTTCCACTAAGTTAAATATTTGACTGTTTAAATTTTAACTGTAAGAAATGGTGATGTTAAATGTTTGCATGTTTAAATTTAACTGTCAGAACTGGTGATTAATTGTAAATGTCTATGATAATAAACAGCTCCAAGTGATTATGGTCCAGAAATTCACAATGATTTCCCGGCTGTGTTCCCCACTCCAGCCTTGAGGGGAGAAATTCTGACACTTGAGTGCTTTGCTTATGGCAAGTAAGCTGAGATAAAATTCTTAAGTTACTATTAAACATTATTTTTTTTACCTAACAAACTGTCCCAGAGAAAATGCAAATGATAATTACTGTTATTGAAAAAAATATTAAGAGTTAAGAACACTATTTATTTTTTAGAAAGTTGTATTATACCCGGTAGTTGTAAATAAAAAGACCAGAATGATCTGTCCCCTCCTTTCAGAGCTGGTGAAGTCTGTCATCCTTGTTATTATGTGAGTGATATTCAGATACTTCTTTGTCTCTAAACAGATTTTATTTCTTTTTTGCCTTCTGTAATTGTTGTGTTCCTGTCAGTGGCACAGCAAGAGATTGAGCCACTAGGTATGGTCTTTGAATTTGCCTCTTTCCAACCCCCCCCCCCCCCCCGAAAAAAAACACAACTAAAACACAAAAAGATAATATGAACAAGAGAAAAAAAATACTCTTCCCCTAGAAGTATGAGTTGCATTTGTTCAAGTTAAGACATTCCAGTTTGATGGATCTAAAAAAATGACGCAGTTTGTTAAAATCCATGATGTTAACTATCTACCAAAGACACCCGACTACACCAACACACTCTATACAAAGGACAGAGTGTGTAAATTCTTCACCATGGTCTCGGGTCAAAGGCCACATTCCCAAATGACTACTGGAACTGAATGATGAAGCTGATTTTAATCCATGACATACATAAATTACTGCTATTATAAATAATTTGAAACATATGTTCATTAGGATATTAAAAGCATCCTAAAGCTTTGAAGCCTGGCCACAATAATTGATGCATAAATGTATACACATATTAGGTTACCTCTCCATTACTCTTGGAGGAAAAATGGCGGTCAAATGCCAGATAAAGCTGAGTACTCAGAACATGGCCGCGTGATAACCCTGCCCAACGCGCAGTTGGAGGATGCTGGCAACTACACCTGTCGTGTTGACCGAGGCAGTAGTGCTGTGGCAGAGAAGTCCCTGAGTGTAATAATAGAAGGTGACCTGTTTTCTACTTTCGTCAGTTAACATGGAGTGTTATTGTATGGATGGAAATGAAAACTTTTATTAAGGATAAATGCTTTTACATAAGTAAACTTTTAATCAAGCCAAATAATAACTTTTAACAGAAAATAACAACTAAATAGGAAACGTGAATCAGAATAATAAATTATTGAATTATTAGGACATAGCCTAGAAAAAAATATTGCCTTATCTCTTCACAGCCAAACCTTTCTTCGCCTTCCCATTGAAGGACCAACACATAGATGTTGGCCGCCCTCTAACCTGGAGATGTGAAGCTATGGGAGTACCCAGGCCGACATACACCTGGTATAAAAATGGGAAACAACTGACCGAAAGTGAAGAGGATGTAGAGGTAAATATTGCATGAGAGAATAAACAAAAGAAATTTTGTACTTTTTATGAAACTAACAAAATTTAATTTAAAAATGAGCAAATAAATATTACCACTCTATTAAGCTCTACTTTATGTACTACACCCATAATTTGTTAAGTTTCATCCCACATATGAAATAAAACTGTGATGGCATGTTTTGTTGTATTATTCAGTGTTTATGTATTTAGCTACCTGTTTTCAATATGCAGACTGCATCACCTGTCCTTGTTACATGTCTGCTTGATGATGTCACTTTGAAAATGAACAAGTAATATTTCTTTATTTTCCAAAAACATTTTTTTAATCAATTGTTTTATACATCACCTAAATAAAAAAACAAAATGTTCTAATAATAAATGTATACCACCTAGGTACGGATTAACATTCTCACAATCGCAAGCGCACAGCCAGACAAGCATCAGGGCATGTATCAGTGTGGAGCAACCAATGCCCATGGCACAACTATTAGCAGCGCTCAGCTGAGAGTCTTGTGTGAGGAATTTTTTATTTACTATTGCTTTTAAAATATTCATAAGTCGCATAAATTAAACTTAATTGTTTAAACCTTAACATTCAAGATAAAACCCAGCCATCTAGTTTTTACTTTAGGGACGTTCGAGAATTTGTGACAGGGGGAGGGGGGTCAAAAAATTTGTGACATCACTTTTTATTTCTAAAATCTAACATTTTCTAATGTTGAAAAAATCTTTATTTAATTAATTTTAAAAACATTAATTTGCTGTCGCAATTGCCTCGGTTATTATAGGTACCATGAAATTCACTTTTCTAATAATACTACATCTTAATCCATTATGGGAAAATTTTAAAGATTAAAATAAAATCTTAGTTTAGTTATGAAAATTGCATGTATGTTTTGAATTTTTTTAGGTGTGACGTGACTCTGGGAGTGGGAGGGGGGTGTAAAAAATTGTGACACTTCGTGGCGGGGGGGAGTGGGGGTCTAATAAGGTCATTTTTAGCGTGACATAAGTTACGAACGACCTCCAAATCAAATGATTTCAGATTGCATATATTAATGTTTTCTGTCTTGAAGCTTTCAAGCCATCCTTCGCCAAGCGACCCATGAACCCGTACCAGATGGGCACAGAGGGAGGCTCTGTGACTATTTTGTGCCAACCAGAAGCTGCCCCAGCCCCTATCTTAACGTGGAAGAAAAATGGAGCACCTCTCTCTGCTTCAGGTTGTTGTCTTGATATGTTGAATGGTCGAAGGAGTCCTAAATTTAAAACTTGATTATTTTAACATACCTCAAATGTGGAGATCTTCTTATTTTACCCTTGTTATTTAAAATTTAATAAAATATTTCTGGAATAAAGAAGTGAAATTTGTTATTTATATACAATGCAAACGTTTTCTCCCTTTGCTCGTTTATAGAGAAATCTTAATTTTGTACTTGATAAATACAGTACCGGTATATTAAAATTAAAGTTTTCTTTAAAAACAACTTTTTAAAAAGAAGCAACCTATGTGTATATTTCGAGTAAAAAAGTGAACATTAGGAAGTTTATCTTATGTGTTTTAAATAGCCCCCAGATAAACTTGCAATTTTAATCACCTTCAATTCATCCAGATCCCGCAGGACGAATTTCTCAGCTCTCAAATGGGAACTTAGTGATCAAAGACTTACACGCCATTGATAAGGGGACTTATGAATGCACAGCTGTCAATGAAAAGGGCTCAGCCAGTAGCTCAGGGGTACTTACGGTTGTTGGTAGGTCTTCACCTTATAGGGATAAAATAATGTAATTGTTAGTTTACCAGTTTAAGATAGGAGCCATTTGGATAACGGATCAAACAGCAAGAAAATATGAGGACTAGACACCTAAAAGAAGAGATTCCCTGGACCCCCAAATCAACAAGGCAGAATAAAAGAGCAGCAATAATATAGGTGGGGGGGGGGGGAGACAAGGAAGAAAAAAGCTTGGTTTGGAGGGGGGGGGACCGTGGCCTGGCGTAACAAAAAAAAAAAAAAAAAAACAACATGATGACACTGTAAGAGACAAAAAGATAGCCAAAAGGACACAATGGATGAACCATGGACCTTCTATTGAAAGCATTGAATCGTAAAACTGTCATTAAGGAGAAAGGAAAAGTTAAACAAGTTGAAAAGCTTTTCAACCCCACCTCACCTGGCTTAGGTCAAGGCAACCATATGCCAGCAGAAAAATGGTGAGGCACCAATAAATATCAGAATGTGCAACTGTGATGCTTAAGGCAGAACACAAGACAATGCCCATCACTCTGTTGATCAGCGTGCTAGAACACCACTACCTTATCAGAGAAGAAGGTTGAAGTTTTCCAGATCAAATGCCTACACAGGGTCTATGGGAAAAGTTGATCATGGACAAGCTCCAATGAAGAACTGAGTGCAAGCAAATTCATTTTCCTATATCAGCACTCAGATGGACAGCACTTGAAAAATGAAACCTGAAAAGACCCACTAGACTCGATGCAAAAAAATCGAGAAAGATCTGGGGAAAAAAACTGACCCTTCTGATAGCTCTCATAGAAGAAGCTGATAGATTGCAGCTGCCTTTCTATGTTAGCTTCAGGCGCCGGTTGACACATGAAGACTGAATCAATGTATATTCCTTTTTAAAAAAATTGTAGGTAATGTACCTCTTTGATGATTGCTAAAGTAAAAAAAAAATTAAATGCATTTTGTGTAGAAAATGTGAATTAAATTGAAATTGATTTGCTATATGTCTTTCCTCTTAGCAAAGACTGTCATGACTGTCAAACCATCAGATACCCGTGTCAATGTCAACGGAACAGCTTTCCTGGCATGTCAAAGTTCCTTTGACCCTAAAGTAAAAGATGTGGTCTATGTTTGGGATTTGAATGCACATCCAATCGATTACACCATTGAGCCACACTTCTCATTGGTATGATCCCCCCCCCCCACACTTCTCATTGGTATGATTCCCCCCCCCCCCATTTACTTTTGTTGCAAATGTTTAATTTATTCCTTCTTAAAATCAGTTCATGTCCCTTACTTATTTGCTATTCCCTTCCTATCTGGTAGGGCACCAGTGGTACTGTAACAGGGCTGTATATCACCAATGCTCAGGTTTACCACACGGGTACCTATGGCTGCTCAGCAATCTCTGTAGAGGATGTTATGAGGTACACAGCATATCTTCAAGTGTTTGGTAAGGTGGTTTGAAACATTCTTTTTAGTTCTCATCACATTCTCTACAAAATATTCTGCAATGAAATATATATACAATCTCTTAAACATTAATTTTCTTAAATCTTTTCTTGATCATGTTATAATATTTATGGTTTCTATAAGATAATGCAAGACCAAATATTTAATTTTTAAAAAATTTGAATTCTACTATGAAAAAGAATGAAACAAAATAATAATATACTCCAGGTCCACCTGGTGAGTGTGGAGGGGTCATTGCCCAGGTCACTGGATGGGATGCTGCTATTAAATGGGCTTTGGGTCCCAACAACATGGCAGAGATATCCAAATTTCAGATTGAATACAACACCAATTTTAACTCTAGTTGGAGAGTCCTCAAAGATGGTGAGTAAATTTTAATTTAGCTTTTGAGATTCTATACCTGTAGCTCATACTCATATGCCAACAAATTTACACAAAAAAAAAGCAATTTTGCGGTATATATATTCCTAATTAATTCATGCCATTGGTCAAATTTCTTTGCAATTATTTAATAATTAAACAGGTAGTGAATGGGTTAAAGTTAGAATTATTTAAAGGTTTCAAAATTCCTAATAATCATTAAAAATAATATTAATGAAATTTAAAAATTGCTAAATTTTCATCTTTCATTTTCTATTTTTTCCTGTAAGAGACTAAGCCTATTTTCACTGATATCAACGAATGATACCAAGCCATTATACAGTTACTTTATTTTCCAGACATAACAAAGGTAGGAGCTTTAGATCCTAACAGGAATGGAAGATGTATCTATGAGGTTAAAGGCCTTAAACCAGGCTCATCTTACAGGTTCAGGGTGATTGCTGTCAATTTGTATGGTCCAAGTCCCCCATCTTTGGCTTCATGTAAGTTTTTTTTTAAAACTTTAATATTTTTAAATTGATTTAAATTTAATATTATGATTTTTTTTCCTCTAACTGCTCTGTAGAGATCATTCTGCATATAATTTGTTACATCTCAATGAAATTTATTCTAATATTTAAAAATTGTTACAATCTGTGAACACTTTCTCATACACAAGAACTCAATTTTATGAGAAGTTTGAAATACATTTCTTTTTTTAATTTCAATAGAAGAAGTTTGGGTAAACAAACATGAGCCCATATCTAAATCATTATCATGACAGGATATTCCATAGCACAAGATGGATAACATGTCCAAGGCCCCTGAAGCTCAAGGGGCCTTGATCCATGCTTAAAAGGTTAAATATATTGAGAGAGAAAGGGATACCCCTTTTGGCTGTGCATAGTGCCCCCAAAGTTCTTAATCTGTTATTAATCCAGACTTTCCTCATTAATTTAGTCTTTTTAACTAGTAAAAAAAAATTGCAACATTTTATTTGAATTTATTCATCATTCCAATCCGGCGGCTATTTGGAAATATGCCCTGGGCCCAAGGCCATGCTAATTATTGTCAAAGACCATTATCTATATTTTAAAAGTAATATTGATCTTACCTCTACTACAAATAACCCACCAAAAAATGGTGCATATATTTCCCATCTACTAAAGTTATTGACAAAACATGAATCCAAGTAAAGCACTTTATAAGAAGCCCAATGAAGTGCAAACTTCTGAGAATTATATTTTGTGCTCCTATTGAACACAGCATTACAGCCAAACATAAATTATTATTTGTGATGTTTAGGCTTATCAAATCGACAAATGTTTTTTTTTTTTTATTTTATTTTAGCCTGTTCCATTCCTGGGATGTATGTTGCTGTAGCCTAAATTTTGTTATACTTCTTTTTCTCATTTCAGCGTTCTATAAAATTCCTGATGCTGCACCAGTCATCCCTGTCACAGGGATCAGAGAGGGTTGGGGGCCTGTTGGAACTCTGGTGGTTGAGTGGGATGTAAGTGCAAAAATCGAAATCTCAAAAAAAAATTTAATTGGTCTAATCAGGTCTAATTTTTAAATCCTTTACATTAACTTTGCTTTTGTTCGTGTGTTTCTTTCTTTATTGCTTTGTGGCAGTAAATCTTTCAGAAAGCTAATTGACCCACTTCTTATAATCCTAAAGAGCTGAAATTTGGCATATAAACTCATTGCAGACGACAAGAAATTCTTTCAAATTTTCAGCCTCACTCCCAACCTCTAAAAATAAAATTTTCCTGTTTTTTAAGCGGGGGAGGAACGTTAATGACTTGTTCGATGGTCATTTTTTTCTGGTGTGGATATTAAATGTGTAGTTGTTGCTAAGTGCTTTGTATTTGTGACCTATTTGGATTTAAATATATCTTTAGTCTATTAGGTTTTAGTTTTAGACGCACTAAGTTTGATAAAAACCATTCCCATGCCAAAAAATCAGTTGCTACAATCTTATATATATTAAATCACATACATTTACATAAATGCAACTACAAAAAAATGCATATAAAAAAAATCTTGTTTTTAGGGGTTGTTTAATTTCCCTCATAATTTCAAAAATTGTAAAAATAAGTTTTAAGCCTTTGTCTTCTTTGCAAACTATTAATTCTTTGCACCATACATGTAAAAAAAAAGGTCAGATAATGATTTTTCCTTAAGACCATGATGAGAAATGCTATATTTTGAAATATTTTTCTTTACAGCCTCTACCATTAGAGGATTTAACAGGGAATGATATTGGCTACAAGATTTACTACCGAAAGAAAGACGTCAACAGTGAAGTTAAATGGAGTGTTGTAAGTTTAAAAAATGTCAATTCTATGTTATGCATTCGCTAGCACAATACCGGTATCTGAAATGAAGCCTTTGCCTGACTTAACACTTTGATTTGGATGTGGCATTTCCATGCTGATTTTTCACTGACTAGTCTTTCAAAAATGTCAGAGTAAAAATGAGCAAAGTATTAAATAAACTGATACATTTTTTAAGGCTAATCATGGTCTGAGATTTGGGCTTTATAAAATGGTTTTACCAATTTTAAACATTAACAAAGAAAGATATCTTACCTAAATCATTGTGCAATCAACTGATATGCGTCCAAAAGGCGATAATTCTACATGTTGATGTATTAGCAGTCTTTTTTAAAGAAATAAAATATATATTTCAAAAAATTGTGTTAAGCAAGTGAAACGATACATTTTTAAAATTAAAAACAAGTGATATGAATTTATAAATTAAAGTTGAAATGTCAGCTGTACAATGCCATTTATTTTCCTCTATTTCTTCCTTTTGATATTCTAAAGGAATTCTATTAAATCCAAGGTTATTAATATTATACTAGGAGTAGGAGTGAAAGCAACAGTAAGTATTTTCAGCCCTCCCAGAGATAGGGGGGAGTAAAAGCAAGAGAAGAAATTGCAAAAATCATTTTCAACATAAGAAAGAAAACATTCTGGAAAATCAGCACACATCTTCTGCTAAATGTTAGAATATCAGGTAATATCAATTTGCAGTAATTATTATTTACAGGGAGAGGTTTTAGGCATGGAGAATAAATATTCTGCTCTTGTTGGAGTGGATAACTACTATCTGGAGTATGAAATCAAAATAGCAGCATTCAATGCACTTGGCCAGGGTCCCAACTCAAGTGTACAAGTCATCATGTCACAGGGTGACAGTGAGTATCTCAAGGACACGATCAGCAATCTGTTATGTAAACTAGATGACAATTTTGTTTTTAATCCCTCTGTCTTTCTCAATTACATTTCTGTTTTTTACAAAATTTTCCTTTACTGTCTAGAGTTGCACATAATCTATAAAAAAGTCGGTTGTTATCAAGCTTTACTTTGTGCTATTAAACATTTAATCCAAGATTCTGCTGCCTCTCTACTGTCTCACTACTACACACAAGCAATCAACAGCAAAATTTCATAAAGCACTCCAAACCAAAATGGCATACACAAAACTAGGATTTTATATCTGACACAAATAAGAATTTTTTTTTTAAGATTCATTACAACAAAAAAAAATTATGAACAAAACTGCCAATCCTGAGTACTACAGAATAAGATGAGCTTAATTTTAAAGCACAGTACAATTCTTTAATATTTTTTTTCCTCCGCACATCATTCCAGTCATGATGATGTCTTAATATCTGTTTCAGTGCCAGTAGGAGTGCCCAGTAATGTCTTTATTGAGCCGTACAACAGCACTGCTTTTGTGGTGCACTGGACTCCAATACCACTCCTACGAGAATACATCAGGGGAAGGGTTATTGGTTACGGGGTGGGTATGTGTTATTGTTTCTGACGATAAGTCAATAACTTTATTCCTTTTTGTCATAAATGTACAAACTTGAATGCTGGTATATAGAGTGTTAATCTGATGTTCCAGTAATATGTGGATGCATGGCCCTGAAGATAGCCAAGTCTATTCCAATCTTAGTTTTCAACTACTTCGACAACACAGTTATTAACAAAATTAGCTTTCTCAGATTTGTATGGCAGAACTTAATTTCCTTAAGAGTGACAGATTATATACTTCTGAAACTTAGTCCTGTGATCACTTCAGTTGTTCAAAGAGAAAAATTATCACTTCAAAATTTAAGTAGGATGCTGCAACTTAAAAGCCATATTTCAGTTTGGGATGACAAATTGTCAATTGATTTTTTTGCTTGAGACATAAATGAATTAAATACCACTTGCTTGAAACAGCAACCTTGATTTATGAATTCAAAACATATCTGTAACTTTGCAAGAATATTACTTTGTTACATCCTAATAATTCTTGTTGGATTTTATTTGCTTGCTTATGAATAGTTTAAAAAAATAATAATGTCTGAAGCATGAAGACCTAAATTTTCTCATTTTAGAGCAAACAAAATTATCAGGCATGGATATATATTTCACATATTGATGAAATGGTTTTTATCATTAAAGTGTAGATCTGAGGAATTCAGACCAACATTATTTAGCCTAGCTGTGTGATTTTATGTCTATAATAAAACACATTTTTTTGAGGCAGGAATCCTAGTAACTTTCAAAAAGAGAATGAAGCAGCAACAGCATATATATATATATATATATATATATATATATATATATATATAGTTTCTGTTATTAAGGAAGTCTCAACGTTTTCATCAGTAAGAAGGTCTCATTTTTTTCATCCTGATTTTGTTTGTACCAAGTTTTACATACCCACTTACCAACTCTTATGGCAGATCAACTATTGGAAGCCTGGTGAAAGCATGGAGACATCCAACATGTATTGTACTGATGATTGTAGCTCAGAGATAATAGTGGGCCTGGAGCCAACTGAAAACTACTGGGTCAACGTCCAGGTGGTTACTACGGCCGGCATGGGAACCCTCAGTGAGGACTATTACGCTGGGACAAACAACTTTCGTAAGAACTTAACGTCTTTGCTTTCTGGTTGTGCCATAATCATTCATAATAATTTCCAGAATCTGTGTGTACTTTAGGCCATAATCATTCATAATGATATCCAGGATCTGTGTGTACTTTGTCCTAACTAACATGTTCAATGTAGGTGCAAGCTTACTGCACAGTCAAAAATGTTGATATTTCTACTACATGTGAAATTATAGGCCCAGAATCACTTGACTAGCCTGAAAATTTGACTGAAATTGATCTCTTTTCAGGTATAGAGCCCGGCGTTATTCAAAATGCCCTTGGAAAATATTAAAAAATCTCAGTGAAATTGTTCTCTAAATATATATTATATAAACTTATTTTCGTTTTTTTACATGTAAACATTGAGTTGGGATCACTCAGCATGTCAACAATGAGTTGGGATCACTCAACAGTGCCCTGAATAATGAAAAGCATACTGTTTCTTTTTATTGATAATTCTTTTTTCACATTCTTTTTGTTTATTTCTGCTCATTTTGTCTTTCTGTTCATAGTTCATTAGTCTGAACGTTGACTTAACAGATCTATATTTGAAATGGCACTAGGAAAAAATGAAATCTAATCCATTTAACACTCTGCATCTAGCGCCCCAGTTCTTCCCAGAGTACGTCCATGTTAGTTCTCATAGCGGAAATGCTGTGTTTGTTTTGTGGAAAGGAATCTCAACTGGCCTTATGGAGGAGTCCCTAATTGGGTACAAGGTAATCATTGGCTTCATCATTTAATCAAGTTTTTTTTAACCTGTGGTCCCTGGCAAACCATAACCATTAGCTGCATTTCTGTTATTATTTTATTACATGCATTTATGAATGATACAGAAGGGGAGGGGGGGGGGGGTTGTGGCCTTCATCTGACTGGCAAAGGGGGTCCATGTAATTAAAAAAAAGGTAAAGAACCCCTGAAGTAGATAATAGCAACAAAAAAAAAGGAATAATAATGACAAAAATTGTTCCTGACTAATTAATCTACATAGTCTTTGTATGTTCATTTAGTTTTCATCCACCAAAAGCTGTGGCATGCAACACTACCCCTTCCTTCACCCCTTTTTTGTTTTGATTTTGACGTCACTGATTACATGTGTAGCATCAAAACATTTACAAAATTATATAATATTTTTAGGAGCCTTACAATATTTTACTCCTTGTGATGGAGGTGTACATTAATATTTGTATCTTTCAGGATTATACTTTTTCACATGCTGTTCTATAAATTAATATACTTTATATTTCTGTATATATTTAAAAAAAATTAAATTGAATATTGTTAATATGACTAGCTTTGGTATAATTTTTGTTTGTATACTGGTTTTCAGTCCATTGCTACACATGGTTAATTTAGCTTTTTTAAATAATAATGCAGATTAAATTAACACACAAAAAGCGCCTTGAATTTTTCAATGTTTCTTTTGTAATGAATATATTGAATACTTGGTGAAATGTTATTATTTAAATTTAATTATTATAATATTGCTACCTTGTAGATGAACAGAGTTAGCTTTGTATTTACATTCTAAAAAATTATTTAACAAAATTCGGTATATATTAAAAAATTGTATGTTCAATTTAATTTAATGTAAGTGGTGAATAAGTTCTTCTCACTGATATTAGCTTGATTCTCTGGGAACAACTAGTGATACCGTATTCTACAAAATTTTTATTTTTATTTTAGCGAACGAATGATGTGTGTCACCTCATATCCTAACTTATGGCGGTCACTTTTTTTACATTCAGATTAACTATTTAATTATCAAAAAGGTTTCTTAAAGTCTTATATACCCAAGTACTATAACTGTGTCCATACATCCATGTATTATTACTGTGTACATAAACCCTTGTACTATTACTGTGTACACACATCCATTTTTTATTACTGTCCGCATGAACCCATGACCTATTACTTTGTACACAAACCTATGTACAACTGTATACAAATATCCATGAATTAAAATTGTATAGACACACATATACTATAATTGTGTACACAAACCAATGTACTACTAATGTTTACAAAACCCATGTATTATTACTGTATAAATTCACCCACGGCATATATTTTACTGTGTACAGAAATCCATCTGATATTACTATGTACACAAACCCATGTATTATAACGGTGTACACAAACCCATTATTATTACTATGGGAATAAAAACCATTATTATTTCTGTGTATACACATCCATGTACTAAGAATGTGAATGTAAAACCATGTATTATTACTTTGTATACACACATGTAGTATAAATATGTACATACCCATGTACTATTACAGTGTACATAATCATCCGTGTACTAATGCTGTGTAAACACAGCTATGCACTATTACTGTGTGCACTCACCCATGTACTATTACTGTGTGCACTCACCCATGTACTATTACTGTGTACTCAACACATGTAGTATTACTGTGTACACACTGAAACCATGTACTTTTATTGTGTACACACACCCATATAGTATTACTGTGTACACACGTTCTTGTACTCATACTGTGTACATAAACCCATGTAATGTTTTCTTTCCTGGGTTTGTTTAATTGCATTTTAAAACTCCCATTTAACTTGCCCCGCACTGTATTTCAAGCTCCGCTGGTGGCCGTCCACTGAAGACATACGTAAAGCCAACATAACAGTCGTACCAGACAGAAGCACGCAGACCGTGATACATGGGTTGGCCTCTGGCACCATTTACTCTCTACGGGTCTCTGGCTACAGCAGCGGAGGAGATGGGGCCAACAGTCCAACAACTTACTTCACGCTGGGTACGTCCGAGTTACCTCAATCCATCATAATTAACAAAAATTATTTAACGTGTTTGCCCAAATAAACATTTCTATGATGCATCATCCTTTTTTGAAAAGAAATCCACTTCATTAATTATTTAATTTCTTTTCATTAAAGTGCAGTCACTTGATTGAATTGAATTATTTTGTTAAAATATTGATTTGGGGGTTGTGTTTGATTGGTTTCTGAAGTGCACAAACTTGATGAATTGTTTGAATTCAGAGGAAAAGAAAAGTTTTCTTAGAATGTTAAAAGTGTTATATTTGTCTGACGGAAAGAATTTGTCTAGTTTGTATCTTATTCCTATCAATATGGAATAAAGTGATTTCTTTGGATTTCATAAATTAACACAGCATCTTGACAAATCTTTTAGGTTTTAAATAACTTTGTTTTCAATAACATTTTTTTCAATAACTTTGTCTAAAGTAACATTACTTTAAGTAGCATTATTTTGAATAACATTGTTTTCCATAACATTGTTTTCAGTAACATTGTTTGCTATGACAGTGCTTTTAATAAGATTTTTTTAATAACTTTATTATACGTTACGTAATATTATTTTAAGTAACCTTATTTTCAGTAACATTGTATTCAATAAATTGTTTAAAATAAAAAATTTTTTAATAACATTATTTTCAATAACATTTTCCAGAGGGTCAAGTCATGTACAACCCAGCCACCACTGACATAATGAACACATCTCCGTCTCTAAAGGCAAGCTTGCTTCTGATTTGCGGATTTGGTCTTTGGAATTTGTTTCTACATTCTACAAATTTGCCATTATACTTTTTTAAATAAAAATTGAATATAACTTACATCATGTTTTTGATGACTTTCTTATTCAAAGTACCCTTTATGGCTATTTGTACAAGACATTTCCTCCCTTTAAGAGAAATCTGCATTTGAAACCATCAGAAACTAAATATTTATAAGCATTTTAACTCGTTAAAATGTGCAAGAGATTTTTTTTTTTTTTAATTGCTTTTTTTTTTGTTTGTCCAAGAATGATTGAAACATAATATTAAGGCTAAGGTTAATTGACAGGTTTGTCCCTTGCTACCAGCCGCTTCATTTTCCCCTGCTTAGCATTAGTAATAAATAAATATAGCCTATAACATATGACAGTAGGCCTATAGCTTGCTCCGATCAACAATTTTAGTGTCCATAGATACACTGCCTAGTGGCGTAGCTAGCTAGTGGCAGTGCCGCACTGGGACGGACCAAGATTTTGTCCGAAATACAATCCCTCCAAATAAAAAAGTGGCACCTGGCCCTGGGCGGGCCACCCTATTCACCCCCATTTTGACGCCACTGGTAGAGTGGTAGCTAGAGTGTTTGGCGCCAGGAGACAAGATTTATTTTTACGAACCCCCCCCCCCCCCTTTTCAACACTCTGAAACCCATTTCGGTAGAACCCGCTTATCTCGACCTCAGTTATCTCATCAACCCTGAAGCTAGAGTGTTTGGCGCCAGGAGACAAGATTTATTTTTACGAACCCCCCCCCCTTTTCAACACTCTGAAACCCATTTCGGTAGAACCCGCTTATCTCGACCTCAGTTATCTCATCAACCCTGTCATGTCGACGTTTTTGAAGTGGAACCGCCAAATTCTCTCTCTGTCTTAGCATTTTCTCCTAGGTTATGTCGATTCATTTATGTCGCCAAACCCTGATATTTCTAGCACAAAAGCCGGCCAAATTAGCCACCTAACCCCGGCCAAATTAGCCACCTAACCTCGATTATCTTGATCCCCATGAGCAATCGCCGGCTTTTGAAAATTGTATACAACAGAAACGAGCCTAATTCAAACTTGTAATTGAAATGAAATGACAAAATCGTTGTCCGTGATATTAACTTGACAGAGCAAGAAGCGAGGAGCGAGAGGCTTGCACACAAAAGAGAGTGGCGAGGTCGCAGTACCTGTTCTAATTATAGTGAACCCGCTTGTCGCTTAATTCTTAAAAGGCTTTCACGCGTTGATTTGTTGTTTTTTTTAACCCAGAATCCTTTTTGAATAAACTGAACTGGCGAATCCGGAGCGAGAGAAAATAAAAACTCGTGAATCCGGAGCTGAAAATAATTACCCTTACGAATCCGGAATTCCGGGATGATCCAGAAAAGTGCCACCCCACATATGCCTTGTTGCCTTGTGTTGTTAGCAAACATGTATGTACATTTTATAGCACGCCGAACGCTTCATCAAACAAATCGCGGTAACGCTGTTGTGTAAAAAAACAAAAAAAAAAACAAACACGTATATATACATCTCATTTGTAAACGCACATCGTAAGAAATTTCAAGCACATGTTAATATATTGCCGCCATATGGGTTTTCGTTTATCTCGATCATCGGTTATCTCGACGCTTTTTGGCAAACCCCGAATTTTCATCCATTAAAATTCAAAGTTCATTTTGGCGCCACCCGCTATTCTGTCGCACGGGGACATCTGTCCCCACCGCCACCCTTAGCTAAGCCTCTGGACACTGGCACTGCACATCCCAAAATCTAAAATCCCCCCCACCCCCCCCCCTTTTTTTCCCCCAGGCAATTGTCGGAAAGAAACAGCTTCGCGGCTAGGAACGCGCTGTTAATTATTTTTTCCCCCAGGCAATTGTCGGAAAGAAACAGCTTCGCGGCTAGGAACGCGCTGTTAATTTAATTTTACATCTGACTTTTTTTAGCCATCATTACCACCCCCCCCCCACCCGATTTCCGTTTTTAACCCATTTTTTGGGTAATTTACCCCCAGGTAACTTATTGTACTTGTTCCTCGTATGCCTATTTATATAAATTTTCATTTCATTGGTGTTTTTTTTTCCCTGGTCCAACATCAAGTAGCAACACCTACAGTTTCTTTGGTCGTCAACTGAGCTTCTCTTAGAATGAGCTGATGAGAATGACTATCCCTACCTATTTCCGCTTGACCTTTCTATTGTTAACTTTTACAACCCTAACTATTTACAGTGTAGTGTAATGACCCCGAGTAAAAGTGTCTAGTGACACCGTAAATTTAAACGTCGGCTAAAACAGTAAAGCATCTGATTCAAGTAGGCTTAGTAGGAAAAAAAAGGGATTAAGCCACCGCCTTGGTTGTAGGACGATAGTCGTAACTATTGAGTAGGGATTAGGGCTTCCCGAGGGGGGCGGGGGGGGGGGCGCACTTTGGTCCACCGCTGCTAAAAGAAAATGGGGTTCTGGGATTTCAAATAAACCGCGCTGACTCTGTCATTATTTAATTATTTCATTAATCACTACTGTTTATTATCATCAGACACTAGAACTCTGACAAAAAACAACAACAACTAATTCTACACACCGTGGGTTTTTTTTAATGTAGACGCGGTTAAATAGCGATAACGGTATTGAGAGTGGGGGTGGGTGAAGGAGGGGAAGTTGAACAAACAAGCCGTGAAGTGGGCGGTGGTCACCAGATGGTGTCATTTAAAGGACACTTTTTCTTTTAGCGTAGGGATGACAGGAATTTCTTTTTTTTAAAGTTATTTTTTAAGATAGTCCTGTGTTACAGTGGGACAAAGGGACCACAAATGAAATAGTTGGACAAAGCCCTCATCGGAGGAAAACAAACGAAGTTTAAAATAGTATGTTGAGAGTATCAAAGACGAGCAACTCAACTTTTCCAACTTTAGGACACAGGAGAGGCAGACATGTCAACAAGTCGTGTTATTTTTAAAGCATTATTTCAAATGCAGCTCTTTTAGGCATGTACTTTAAATACAGTTTGTTACATAATTTTTATTGTAATTTTTTTTAAAACTCGCATTGCTACGTTGTGTATCATGCTGGGACGGCCCAGCGGTTGCTGGCGCCCCGGGCAAGCTTAACTTTAGCACCCTTTTAAAAATAATCATAAAAATTTGTGCAAGGAAAAAACTGGGGATTAGGTAATGAGTTAATTACCTACATTTAAAAAAACACCAAAAAATGAACAATAACATTGGTTTTCTTGAATTGTAATTGGACAGTATGAGCAATTAGCCGGGGGGGGGGGGGCGGTATGAACAATTAGCGCACCCCATGAATTTTCCCTAGCCTTTAGATCAGCAAATCTTTTTATTGCACAATTTTTTTTCTTCCATGGCGACCATATGCAATGCTTTTTTTTTTTCTTATTTTGGAAGATCGTTGCTGGCGCCCTAAGTACATGGCACCCCTGGCAACTGCCCGAGTTGCCGGCGCCTTGATTCGGCCCTGGTCTCATAATGAATCCGTCACTGCAACTTAGTTTGGACTCAAGCCGAACCCGACCGAACTTGAACCCTGCCGACGACCGAACTTGAACCCTGCCGACGACCGAACCGAACCCAAGCATCAATGTCATTGAGAACAACCTCACCCGAAAGGACCTGTCACGAACTAATTTGAAACGACTATGTTTTACTTATGTAACACATTGCTACTTACGCCAGAAATTCTTATACCGGTATTTCAATTAAAACTAGAAACCAATTGTTGCTGCAGGATAAAGATGTCTTCGTGCACCACATATACCTTTTTCATCAACTCCTTTCCACCTCTTGGTTCGTATTCATGCTTGATAACACATTGTATCCAACCATGGGCGCCCGCAGAAAACTTTCTGGGGGGGGGGGGAAAAAATCGGTTAACTTTCCAGGGGGGGGGGGGGTAAAATTTTTGTAGTTTTAGTTGACTAAAATTTTTTTAGTAATGTTTTAATGTAGTTTTAATTTACTGTAGCGTATTTGTATGGTGAACGAACGGACTGGACATCAGCTTAGTTACATTCTCTTTATTTTCTCTTTACTTTAATACATTTTTTGTCTATTTTGGTCTAAAATTTTATAAGCATAACATTAAAATTAAACCCAGTACAATTATTTATTTCTCCCAAGTTTTTTATGAGATATTAGCGACCCACGCTTTTATTCCTAAGCTGTCAGAGTCGCTAGTTCCTCTCACGGGGGGTTCATTTGACAACATAAGAAACTTTGAGAGCAGTCTTGGAAAAGTAACATCCAAGGCCAAGCCCCCTTTTAAGAGCAGACACGTGACTGAATGGGCGTTCAGTAGCGGCTCCGTGGCGCGTCCATCGTCTGACTAATGGGTAAGTTGAATCTCGGGGAATTCCCGACGAAACACCAAAAAAAAAAAAAAAAAAAAAAAAAAAAAAAAAAAAAAAAAAAAAAAACAGCCCCATTCATTAAACCTGTTCACATCCCAAACACTTTCCTTGGACCACACAGATCTCCTGATCCAGACATTGCCCATGGCCCCGAAATGCGTTTTTTCTACCCTACATAATCTGAGTAACAAATATATTTTTTTTAAAACATTTCACCACGTCCTTCATATTTACCGACGTTTCACCACTTATGAAAAAAAAGCATCGCATATTACTACAATGAGAATCACGATGTACCACAATAGCAAAGAATCCGCTGTACCATGATAGCAAAGACTCCGCTGTACCATGATAGCAAAGATTCCGGTGTACCGCGATAGCAAAGACTCCGCTGTACCATGATAGCAAAGATTCCGGTGTACCGCGATAGCAAAGACTCCGCTGTACCATGATAGCAAAGATTCCGGTGTACCACGATAGCAAAGACTCCGCTGTACCGTGACAGCAAAGATTCCGGTGTACCACGATAGCAAAGACTCCGCTGTACCGTGACAGTAAAGATTCCGGTGTACCACAATAGCAAAGACTCCGCTGTACCGTGACAGCAAAGATTTCGGTGTACCACGATAGCAAAGACTCCGCTGTACCATGATAGCAAAGATTCCGGTGTACCACGATAGCAAAGACTCCGCTGTAACATGATAGCAAAG